CATCCATCCACCTCGTTATATCCTCAATAAACAATGAAATAAGAGAGACATTTAATGGACACTACAAAAATATTCAGAAATTGGAGCTCTTGAAGAGACTCACTGAAAATCGGTTGGGTGCACCCCTGCCTAGAAAGCTTTTCTTTGTATGTTGGGAATGAAAAAAAATATATAACTAAATAAATCTGCTTTTGCCCTTTTAAAAGCATTTCCTTCTTTAAAGTATGTTTGCTAAATGAAAACAACATTGCTTGTTACCTTCAACATGCTGGTAATTACCTTGCCACAAAGTGACCCCCCATTGTCCAGGGGCTGCATGCTGGACTCTATCAACCAATTTCACTTCATTGCCACATTAACAGTCAAAAGCAGCACACTACTGTTTAATATTTAAAGAAAATGTTTCGTTCTTAACTGGGAAAGTTCCTGCGAAGACAGCAGGACTCAGCAGGTGGCTTAGGAGCTCAAGTTTTAATTAAAATTTCTAACTCTAAATGCAAATCACAGCACTTACTAAGAAATGCTTCTCAGCATGGACACCTTTATAAGCACATCACAGAGCCTTTAGGAAGTGGACTCCACAAAGGACAGGAGCATACACTGCAGGGGAAAATCCTGCATTAACCTACATGGACTAGAAGGCCTCACAAATCTTTCAGTCTTTAATTTCTATGATTCACAATTGGAACAACTTTCTTCCAAATAACTAATGGGCACCACCACTCCTGTGCTGCCCCTTAAAAAAGAAAATTTGCATTTGTAGGATATGAGCTGTTTCTTAAATTAATTATTGATTTTGCTCAGGCATAATCACTTGCAATTACAGCACCTATTAATATTTGAAAAACAATGATTTGAACCTAATCAAGTCTGAGGCCCCCCAGGGCACCTATAAGCATTGGTACATAGCTATGCATGCTCCAGAGCAAGGCTGTGCAGTGCTTGCTTGGGTTAGGCAAATGAACTACTGCTTTGTATGCAAAAGTTGATTTTTAGCATTTATGGCTCATCACCAGCACAGCTGCTGCTTTTAAAGAACATCCACAAAGCCTCCACAAAGCCTCTGTTCTCTGCCCTTTTGGTTGGTTCCTTCTTTCCACTGGACACGATTGTGGTGGATCTCCATCTTCAGATGCTGAAGTGCTTCAAGGCGCCTGTCTTGGTGGTTGGCAGGAGCAAGTTCATTGCCTCTTCCCCTTGAGGGAGGAGTTTTACTGCTCTGGTCAATGGAGTTGAGGCCACCTTGGCTCTTTCTGAAAGGCCTTTGTGTCCCCTTCACCTCTATCCAAGTGTCACACAGCTTCCCCTTCTCTCACATGGGCTGGCCATGCCAACTGGTGCCAGCCTACAGCCACTACAAGTGCCAGCCATGATGCCAGCCCAGCCCAAGAGCAGCTGTTTCCATTTCTCTCCTGTTTCATGTGGGTAGGAGGGTCCAATTTCATTTCCCTTGTGCTGCCACCCTGCTAATTCCTTCTCTCTTCTCTCCACCCCTCTTCCTTCTCGGACGCATGGGTTTGCACTTTGTGTTCTACTGAATTGTGCCCATCTGCAGCCTGAAGCCTGGCCTTGATGTAGCCAGTGGAACTGAATTCTTCCACATCCCATGGTTAACCAAGAAGTAATTACAGACTCTCTATGTACTATTAGCTCTTACTCTTATTATTTTCATGGACTTTGTGGTATTTTCAATGTTTCTGAATTAACTTACAGGGTTCACTCACCTGAATTTTTAAGCAGGTCTCCCAGAGACTCCATTCATTGTGTCCCACTCTGCCACACACATGGCTCATGCATTTCAATGCCAAGACCACACAGCCATCTAGACCGAGTTTCTGCACAGCAACCAAACACTGCTGTCTTCTGCCACTTTCGCGCTCCCAGAGAAGGTACATCTCCACAAATATTTATATTTTATTTAAGTAAGGACTATCCCTTGCTATGTCGCCATATCAGCCAAACAGGCTGGATTCAACAGGAGCTACCTCTTAGTTCATAGATCCCATGAAGTTTGAAGGGGGTTTCAGCAGCATTAGTCAAACTGCGATCAGGGCCTGCTGCTCTGGGCCTGCTCACCTCCTGTCTGGGCCCCTGCTTTACAATAGCAACCAGCTCAAACACAGGGCCTGTGAACTCCTTTACACAGGACAGGAAGGTGCAAGCCAAACCCTTGATAGATTTGCTAATGGAAAAAGATTACAAAATGCGAGTATTGTTTTTTAAAAAATCCCACAACCTATCAACCGAAGACATGTAAAATAAGGAATGGAAAATTTGATTTCAGCATAGGTAATCAAGGACATAAGCAAATGAAAATGGTAAGAGAAGAAAAGGACCATAAATACCCTTTGGTGGGATCACTTTCAGAACCACTCATTTTCTTAGAGAAAAGGAGCCTTCATCAGGTACTTTCAGGCAACTGATGAACTTTTTGAGCTCCCCAATGCAATCACTTGATGACTGGCTGCTTGCTCCACTCCCCATTCACTAAACAAAATATCCTGGAGCACTCCCTCAGCCACTGCTTGGCCCAGATGGTTGTTCTCAGGTCATGATACTTCCCTCCTGCTAGACTACAACTTGAGAGATCACAGCTCTGTTGCTGTTCAAATTGTGACCACCACATTCAGGCTATGCTACTGCTCAGATCTTCCATCTGTGAAACGGGAATGTTATTCTCTTGCAATTCAATGTGCAGTAAATAAATTCCACTGATCACTCCAATGTGTCCCCATGTCACCGCCACAGGGGTACCTAAACTGAGAGATGTGGCTTTCAGGGAAACCACTACAGGTTTTAACCACTGAAGCACAAAAAAGATGTGAGAGGTCCCACAAAGAGGCACTGAACAGAATATGGCAAAAGGAGGAACCAAGTGGAAAAATGAACTTAACATCTCCACACAACACCTCAGGTCAGGCATCCTCACCTCATCACATGGGGCTATCCTGT